TGTTCATTTTCCATTTTAGAATGAGGGAGCTGAATGAGGAGCACTCATTGTATGTAGCACAGCTAGACTCAGTAGGGAGGTGCAAGTGGAGCTGGGCATGGCTCAACGTGGAAGTGAGGACAAAGCTTTAAGAAAGCAAGCAGCCTTGAAGGAGATGGAGAGACGGAGGGTGTTCGACTGCCAGCCATCCTCAAGCGCTGCCGCAGCCAGAAGAACCAAGGCAGAAGAGGAGGCTCTGGCCAGAAGGAGGCATGCGGCCAAACAACGAAAGCGAGCTTGTGAAACCCTTGTCCAGGCTAAGAAGGAAAAAATGTTTTTCAGTATAATATAATTTGTGTTTTGGTTCTTTTGTTTTCTTATTTTAGTGTCATGCGCCTAACACTTACTTGAGTTCAGTGTCTGCGTCGCCCATTCTGCCCCCCCTTTTTTTCTCCGATGAGTTTGCAGGTCTGTTGTGTTATTGAAGTTGGTCAAACAGTTCCCGACATTTTCGTTGGTCTCTATCACCCCAGACATTAGATACGCGCCCCTCCCCAACTCCACCAGAAAGCAGAGAGAAGACGCTTTATAATTTAATGGAGTCATGGAGCTGTTTTCTGCATATATTAATTTAGAAACACTGTTTAAATCAAGAACCTCGCAATATCCACAGTTTCTTGTGACACAAGTGACTAAGGTGTTATTTCTTCCAAACACCACTAAAACCTTCACTCTGCCTGGCTCCGACCCGGAGAGGTCTCTGGTTTCCTCCACCGTTAAGTCGCGGTTCATTTGGTAGAGCTGAGCTCCGGCGGCGACGTAGATGCTCCTTTTCCATACAGCGAGGTTATCGATCTGTTTATCAAACGTATGATTGTAGTCACACCGGCTGAGGCCGATGAAAAAAATAAAGATGATAACCGTCCTCATGCTTCAGTTACAGGATAAACTGCTTTACAGCCCGCTCCAGATGCCTCCATTCGGCGAGTTTCTCAAACTTCCTTTTCTGTCACTGCGTCCCGCGTCCCTTGCTCGGCTGACGAGGAAACGTCAAAAAATAATGACAGTGATAAAACGAAAATAAATGGAATAGCAACCTACAACAAAACGTCAGAGAAAGTATGCAAGTAGAATATGCCCTCTTAAATGTGGAGTTAACAACACTAACAGCAAACTTGAGTATTAATATAAAGAATGGTGTTTTGTGTAGAATTATATTTCCAATACGAACTGTTAATGATAAGGCTGTACCGTAACACCATTCCATTAGGTAAGTGTCGCTTCATTTGGACCCCGATATATAATGGAAGTGTGTCATTTTTTATAAGTACAATTATAATTTTATTTATATCTATTTTAGCTCATGTAATGGAATATTTTAAATAACTTCAACAGTCGGTAATTTCATTTCAGTTGGTGTTTTTTTTCTTGGTGACACTGATGTACGTTGGATACGCCCTGAACCACTAGTGATGCGGCAGCGGCCCCTAGCGATCGATAAAATAACTTCTGACTACGGGAGCGAGACTTCGGCAATCCAACAAAGATGAACGCTTCCTCTAAAAGTTGGCCCCTGATCTTCAGGGGTCTGCACAGGGGCAACAGAGATGATCAGAGACTGCAAGTTGGCCCCTGAACTCTGTTGCCCCTGTGCAGACCCCTGAGCATAACAAGGGACCCAGCGGCAGCGCCACACTTGTCACGAGAGCCCCTGAAATTCACCATAGATGGTCTGCTTTGTCACACTGAAGCTGATCTGTCAAATGAGCAGAGGTTGTGGGCCCCACATGAGTACCCCAGTGCCGTAGCCCCTTTAAGAAATCTACCTCTGGCAAAAACACTAGGCTATAAACCAAGCGGCCTTGGGTTTGAAACCAGCTCCAGTAATAACTCTGAAATAATCTACTTCTATTTGGAAAATAGTCTCACTATATACACCTTACTTCAACATAACTTACAAATACCATACAGTATGTAAGTATCATAACATAATGTAAAACACTGGCTACAGACCAAGAGGTCATGAGATCAAATCCAACTTGAGCTGCCACTCTGAAAATAACCTACTTAGCTTTCAATTGGATTGATAAAAGGCTTATATACACCTTACTTCAGCAAAACTTTATCATATTTTTTTGATAAAATATATAAAATATAATACAATATAATAATAATATTAATTATTATTATAACGAATCTATTATAATAATATATAAATGCAAAATACACAATATAAGAAAATCATTCATAAAAATTGAATTAATTGTAAAAAGCATTCAATTAATGTGGCTCCTTGTACTTTGCCTTCCACTCTTCAAATGACTTCACTTCCGCCATTTTACAGAAGATTTTATTTCTGAACCATCTGTGCCCAAACTCCTGCTTCCATGGCTGCCCACACTGCTCACACATGTAGTGCTGATGGATCATGCGAGGTGGGATGGGAGACCCTGTATCCTGGCCAAGGCTTCAGCTGCTTCCTCCTCCTCCACATGGTGCTAAAAAATCTTTAACCCGGGCAGATGGCCGGGGTGGGTAAGGGAGCCTGGGGGTGTGTAAGGGAGCCTGCAGTGTCAGCGGGGCGGCTATGGGTGGTTCTGATCCTGCTGTAGTCCTGCAGGATGGCAGCCCACCTGCTCAACTGCACCCCAGCGATCATCTGGCCAGCTGGGTAAGGAGAGCAGAGCTCCAAGCAGATGGCCTCCACAAGTCTGCTCACGTGAGGCCACTGTGCAGGCCTGGTGCCTTGGCCCAGCAAGCAGCTGCTCAGAGAAATGTAGAAGTTAGGCCAAGTGTTACACAGCAGCAGAGAATGCATGCCTGGAAATCTGTAATATCATTGTCTGCCTTGGTGGGTAGGAGACACGCGGCCTGTCTCTCTCCAGCAGGTTGTTCCATAGAGAGACGATGCTGGCAACGTGACTGTCTGAGACACAGAGCTCATGGCTGTAAGTACTACACTCCACACATAGGGGCGCCCTCTCGCGACTGCATGGGGGCGGGCGGTCCTGAAACCAGAGACCTCACACGTCATCTGAAGAGGACATACAGTAAAGAGAGTGGATATCTGCAGATCCATCGGTAGGAGAATGAAGTTTTGTTCTTACGCTGGGGCCCCGTGCGACAAGATTAAAACTCCACCAGCTCAAACGGGTTTTATTATGTTAAGATAGTTGAGAACTTCGGCTGTAAGCCAGCTGTTAATTTCAGAGTTTTGTGGATGGCTTTCTGTTAAACCACCATGGAGCCTCAAGGCTTCGAGTCACGAAACACACTCTCCGGTAGCTGCGTCCAGTTAGACACCGCGGGACTCCCACCCTGAAACACGCCTGAAACTCCGCTCCTCCGACGCCAGGCTTCGCGGGAGCATCATCCCGACACGCATCGGGGAATCCAGCTCAACGCTGCGAGTCACTCGGCACAAGGGGTTTTGTCTTAAATTAATACTGTTTCATCTGGGCAGTGTTGTGTTTAGCTAAACTTGTGCTTATATTCACAGTCAGCATGGACATCACACTCGCATGCTGTCGTGCTGTGTGTGATTTCGTTTACTCCTTATCCTGCTTTTACCACTCCAGTCAGTCACCACGCAACATAACACATTCTTCTGCAGATGCCCTCCGTCAGCGCGGACATCACACTCGCATTGTTCTGCAGAATGCGCTTCACCAGGCTTTCTGTCCTCTCCTGGATTTGCTGGATCTGCTCCATCCAGGTGTTCTGCATCTGCTGCATCCTTTGGAAGAGCAGTTCCACATCAGATGCATGGCGCCTCCTCCTCCTCCCTGATGGTGTCACTCTAGGCCCTACAGAAAGAACTGAAAAACAAACCTCAATTATACTTATTTACCAAAGGAAAATAATGTCAATCCAAGGTAGGCGTGCTGGCAGATTTCTGCAGTCGAGGAGTGTTACTCCTCCACAGGGAGCCCTAGTTATTATGCCTGTACTGCGTTAGATTGCCCCAGTGACATAGCCGCCACACTCCAGTTGTTGCTACTGGTTAAGTGTATGAAAACTGACACCTCAGACTGGCACCAAACCAATTTACGTTTTTTGAGTCATGATATCTCCCATTACTGTGTCCCCAGGTGCATCAATCTGCCATGACCTCATGATGAGCACATGCACACTTTGACCACTTCAGAGTGTACTCACACTAGCTGATCTGTACCATGCCCAAACATGTTTGACCCCCAAAGTCCAGTCAATTTGACTAGTGTGATAGCTCTGTACTATGCCCGGGCTCAGTACACTTGCTTGAAGGGGTTAGGACCCGGGCACGGTTTGTTGGACTCAGGCACGGTATGCATCTATTGTGATTGCTAATCGTACCTGGGCATGGAACACAGACCTGACATCAATGATGCAACTGACACCCGCATGTGCACATGTACACTATAGATGAATTGGACCCGGAAGGAATGGATCACGAATGGATGAAGTTGCTATTTATATCAGTCCTTAAAAGGACCACACAAATAGCAACGATAACACAGAGACAATCAATGGCAGGGAAACGTGGGAAGGTAACACACTAGACAGGAAGGCTCACACACGGTAGATCATAATACAACATTACAGCAAGTAATGAGGTGGCCAAGGAACCGCAGCCTTTGAAATACACCTGCGAAGCTGTGCATGAAATGTACACGGCCTTGCAGAGTTTGGCTTCAAGGTCCCAACTTCGAGCCCAACATGCCACATCCTCCTGCATGACATGCACTGGTGCGGCTACATCGTTACCAACACGGCCAGTTACAAGAATCTTTCGCAGTAAGGCACTCGTTCCTCTGTATGTGCTGTTCTGAAACTTATAACCCACCTCAACCTCGGCTGATGTAGTTTCCAGTTTTTGTGTGTGTGTGCTCTGACATGTTTCTAACCCCAGCTCATAGAGCTGTCACATTTGCTGTTTACCTCACGGTAGTAACGCTTAACATATTTACTGAGGTCACTGAGTGCAGCCGATTCACTGAACTAATTTTCATGTTTCTGAAAATAAACACAGACATTCTGAGGAGAACATCACACTGCTTAGTTTAGCCACCATTTAGATATTTTTAGAATTTAGTGACTAATTGTCATTGTTGACACACCACAACACACAGTGCACAACAACAAGATGTGTTCTCTGCATTTAACCCTTATGTGAGATAGCAGGGGGCAGCTAATTCAGTGCCCGGGGAGCAGTGCTTGGGGGGGTATCTTGCTCAGGATACCTCAGTGGTGCTTTGCTGGTCAGGGACTCAAACCTGCAATCTTTCAATTACAAGTGTGCTTCCCTAACCATTAAGCCACCATGTAAGATTGTGTGTGTGCACACTGCGATGGACTGGCGTCCCATCCAGGGTGTCCCCTGCTTTGTACCCTGTGCTTCATGGAATAAAGGCTCATCAGGACCCAGGACTGGCTAAGCGGTTATGGAACGTGATCCAGATTACAGAATACTGTCCTCCTTCATGGCCACTTGAGAACGGACATGTGAACAAAAGTGATATGCATGGCCTACTTTTATTCTGAGGTTTAAGTAATTAGCCACAGCACTCTGAGCACACTTATTTTCACTCTGAACGGAAATTCTTTTGAATTTGTTCTTTGCATCTATGAATATTCTTTGATGATTCATGCTGCTGGGTTTGGTTTCTATATCATGTCTAGATCTAAACCCACACATGATAGCTTCTGCCATTTGTTGCATACTATCTGTGTTCTATGCCTTGATGCCCTTGGGGTTGAGGTCTGTGTGCATGTGACTTTGCTTAAGTTGGTTAACAGCTTCTCCATGATGGTCTTGCTGACCCTGAGCAGGTCCTGCATCACCTCTATCAGGTAGGAGAGGTCGGTGTGCAGGGCCAGGGTCAGCAAGGAGGCCACCGTGCACCTGAGGAGAGCATGAGGTAGGACTGCGTGCGTGATGCGCTCACACTCTCGACACACTCCTGCAGTTTGCTGTAATGGTGTTTTACGTGAATGGAAGACCGCCTTTAACATGCCCACTGGTCATTATGAGTCCTCAGTCATGCCCTTTGGTTTAACTAACGCCCCGGCTGTATTTCAGAATCTGATCAATGATGCCCTCCGAAACATGTTGGATAAATTTGTCTTTGTTTATTTAGATGACATTTTGATTTTTGTTCAAGATGAGCGGTAACACATCCAGCACGTTCAAAAGATCCTTCAGCATCTTTTGTCTGACAACTTATATGTCAAAGCTGAGAAATGTGAGTTCCACAAGCTAAACATCTCCTTCCTAGGTTTCATAATAACAGAAGGGTCAATCCAGTTGGATCCTGAGAAGGTGCAGGTCGTTGCTGAATGGCCCGAACCGCAGACGCGGAAGGAACTACAACGGTGCTCGGATTAAGGCCCCTTCCCAATCCCCAGCGGGTCTCCTGCAACCCCTATCTCTTCCAAATCGCCCCAGTCTCATACGGCATTAGATTTTACTGGACTTCCTCCCTCTCAGGGTTTCACAGGGGTTCTCTCTGTTGTTTATCGTTTTTCATGTTTACTTCTTCTAAGGACTTGACCATTCTTACCACCTGGAGTTTTCCAGAAGGAGGACATTTACACTCAGGCTGAACATTTCTGGAAATGTTGGGTCAAGGAATACCAGGAACATTAGAAATGGTGAAATGTGAAGCAAAACTTTGTTCCAGGTGATACAGTGCTCAGAGTTGATTATACATTTCCTTGCAACAGGTTATTTAAACCTTTCCAGATCATATACACCTTGTGTACCGGGTGCACAAGACCAGCTGTCTAGACAGGCCTGTTACCACATTCTGCCTTTTTCAGGAGAAAGAGCCTTAGACTGTCATAAGTTTGAGGACTGAGACAGACTTTACAACAGGGTGATGGTAAAGTTCACCCTGTACTGGGCTAAGTGCTAGTAACCTCTGGCCTAGAGGATTCTTTTGTTTCTGTTTGAAGAAGATGTGGAAGATGGATCAACATGAATTTTACTTGTTTGACATGTTGAAGTGCTGTAATTGTTATTGATATAATAATTAGGGGCTGGAATGTAGGAGCCATACATATATATAAAATGTGTGCATTTTAATTTTATTGTCTTTTGTATGTTTCACATCTTTTTGGTGCTATATGGTAATTGTCACGGGTGGAAATAACAATGTAGTCACCTGTTCACCTGTATAGTGGTTCGTGGGGGTGAGTAAGGAGGATATATTGAAATGCTGGTCGCAGATGCAGTTGCTGTTACTACAATTATTATGGAAATCGTACTTTATAACAATTTTTGAAGTTGGACAGGGAAGATTTTAAGACGATGGAATGAAGGATGAAACAAACAGCCTTGTGGAACTCCATTTTCTTTCATTTTAACTGCATGTCATACAGCATGTCGCCTTCTTGCACAGCCTCTCAGCAATATTTGGTTAAGTTGTCACTAAATGTCAGTCTGCATGTCAACAAAGCCTGAGGAAAAGTCAGAGGGAACATAGTAAACGCAGAACTCCACACAGACACAACAGCAGGAGTGTCGCTGAAATGAAAGGTAGCTTAATGGGAGTGTGCAGACATTTATCACACAATAACACACTGAAGAGCCTCTGTGGGACTACTGGGGAGACACGGTCCTGACTGGAAGTAGCCTTGCAGACTGTCCTTGTCAGATCTCATTTCTTGTTTCACATTCCAGAGTCTCTAGATACTTGTCCATGTCTGCAGACAGCTTCTTTTTGAAATGGTAATCCCACAATAGAAATCCTGCCCCATGCAAACACAAAAAACAGTTAGCAAATGAATTAGCTTCCTCTATTCAGAACCATATACTGTATGGTCTCGTTAGGAACAGACAGAAAAAGCTGTGAAATACCCAGCTTGGTTTACCCAACAAGCCGGCAGTATGTCAGTATGTTGTTCTCTGCTGTTAGAGCCAGACACTAATATACAGGCCCAGCTTTCTGCATCTGACATAAGCGACTGGCACTGGTACGTGTGGCCTTTTCTACATTCAACTCACCTGTGATGATAAGAGCGATGAAAGCAAATACACCCAGGAGGATCCAGTAATATTTATTAGTATTTTGCTCTTCGAGCTGCTTTGAGAAATTCCCAACCACTATCTGAACCAAAAAAATGTAAACCAAAATAATGAATCTCATCCAATAGATGACGTGTCAACTGGAAAGTGGAATGACAGAGAACGCCTTACCCTGACTGACTGAATGCTACCCTTTGACTGGTTGCTTATTCTGCAAGTCACAGAATCCTCTGCCATGTCGTTACCCAATATGATCGATTCCGCTTCACACTGATGCTGCTGATCGTCCACCGTGGCAGTTATGTTCAGCTCCGACCCAGTTAAGTTCAGCTTGTCCACCTTTTTCTGAAACGCAGAGACGTTCACTCAGAAGATCAGTGTTTCAGCACCTGCACCGAGAGTCTGAGTCCCAGCCGAAGCCCGACCTGTAATCCTGAGCTTTAGTATAAGAAGTAAGTTGTTTGGGATGAAAGGGATTTCAGGGCGATTCAATAAATACATAACAGCATAATGTATCAAACTGAAGTTTAGACGGCATGTTATTCTGTGTGATCAAACCTTTAATTTATCAGGTATCATAAGCTATGCGACAGAAGAACGGTTCTGCTTCAGAGCAGAGGAGCCTACAGGGTCTTTACCGCAATGACGATCCGCAGGTCACTTCCCACAGGTGTGGCTTTGAAGCTGGTGAATTCGGGATTTGGGAGGTATGTTAGCTGCACACATTCCCTTGTTTCGTTTGCCAGGCACAGGAGGATTAACTCTCCTTGTAGCGTCCCATTGGGTGCTGACTCCAGGTTGGGTGGGGTGCAGAACTCGAACCTCTGAAAATGTAGGTTTAAAACATGGAGCACCATATGTAAGGTAGGACTGGTGTTGACCTGGGGAGGCTGAGTCACTGAGAGGGACCAATGGGGTCATTGTCTAAAGTGTTGAGAAGACTGGATGTTGAGGATGAGCAGACTACTAACCTTGGAGCTAGAATTCCCGATGTGCGCTTTTCCGCACAGCTCTATCCCATCCACCAAATCCAGCTTTTCACCAAAGATTGTGACCTTTCTTCCTCCACTGGTTTTGACACAGAAAAATTCATATCAGCCGTCAATATGGCTTTTGCCAGAAAGATTGAAAGTGCTTCACTTTTTGAAGTCCTGAGTGCCTTTCAATCACTAATGATCAGCAACTTAACAAACCACAACACAGTGAAATTCCTTTTAACCCTGAATAAGTCATTTGTTTTGATTTGCTGAGGGAATCCCCCCCCCACAGAAATTAATATAAGAATTTCCACATGTACAGAGTCAATATGATAACCAATTTTTTTGGCCAAACGAGGACTGAAGTTAGAAATTTAGCTTGCTGCATATGTGCTTGAATACAGAAAGAATGAATGCGATTTTAATGCTGCCAGCTGCATAGTTTTTTCTGACACATGCACATGGCTGGAGCTGAAGGGCTGTCGGATTTTCATACAGTATACAGCCATGTCTCAGTGGGTTAGTGTGCTGTGCATGAGGGGAGTGTTCAAACCATCCATCTGAGGGAGTTCATTGGGAGTTTCTGGCAGAAAGTGAGTATTGGCATTCAAACCCACTAATCAAATTGCTGGCTTCTGTGGAGGAAAGTAATCAACAATCTGAACTCATAGCAGGCCCATGTGGTCACAAAGGAGACTCACCTGGCCCAGGTGTTGCTGGGAGAAATGGCAGTACAGTGTGGCAGGGGTCTGTACATGACTGACTGTGAGCCAACACACCTTCCATCGGGCAACAATGCGCAAACGGTCATCATATCAACCTTCCAGCCGGGAAGGTTAAACCGTAGGCTGTGTGCCGTCTGGGCCAATACCTGCAATCTGCACACACAACTCCAAGGTCACAGGGAAAGGTCACCCAAACCATGGGCAAGAGGTCAATGATCATCTGTGACTATGGTAATGAGATGTCTCACAAACTGAGCAGATTCTGGAAAACTCTAGAAACTAAGGGATGGACTATGTTCCATCGTGCTCTGATTGTCACTAGTATGACAATAAAAGCAATAAGTAACTCATGAAAGTCGTAAATGGGCTTTACTGAGAAAATTAGCCAGAAATCAACAGGAATTTCTGTAGGATGACAAACTCACTCCTCTGAGTAGCATTCCACTGTCCCCTGAAGACGTATCTTTGCTACATGATCAAGGTTCTTCCCCAACATCTCAACATTGTTTTTGCCGTGAAAGGAGACGACACTCGGAATAACAGAGTGCACGCCTGGCTCCTGGAAAAAATGAAATATATACCTGATTCAGTGGAGAATGTAATCTGTCCCTAGCGCCTGTACAACAGCATGCATTGCTTAGAGTGCAGGAACACACTTCACAGGTGCTATTTAATAACATCATTCCAAAAACCAATGACAAAGTCACTATGGAATGAACCATTTTGGAGTTACAGTACCACTTGAAAGCTAAAGCTTAAAAATTTAGATTTTATTTCTTTATATGTTTTATTATCTTTTTGTTCTTTCCCAGAAAAAAATAAAGTAAGACATAAATGTATAGGTATTTCTACCATATTTTCAGCAAAGGACGACTTTGGGTGAATCTTGTGATTCACTGAAGCACCAGTGTTAGAGGTTCTGAAACCCATTTGTTCAGGTCATTTAACTAGTTCTTCAGTTTAAATTGGTTAATTTTGAATTAACTGCAGCCTCGTGTCCCATTTCAACTATGATTGTACTCATGCAAAAGAACAGAAGAGAATGAATGATGGACAGACATCAAATTTACTGACGGACAAGGAAAATATCTTACTGAATAATTCGAAGGAGGACGTGTGACATTTTCACAGACATCCTGCAAAAGAAAAAAAAAAACAACTAATTTGGCACAATCCAGTGGGTAGGTGTTGCCACCAAAATGAATGAGAATAAACCACCAACTGAAAATCACTAATTTGGAGGAAAGGTTCAATTCAATTTCAATTCAATTTATTTTTATATAGCTCCTTTCACAACAGAGTCATCCCAAGGTGCTTTTCGTGGATGTGTTGTGATACATTAAACATCATTAGAGAGAGTAAAACAGAATGAGAAAATGGAGGGAAATAAATTAAATAAAGAAAGTCAGATGACAAGGGAGGAGAGGAACCAAAAATTCCCAAGTAAAAAAAAACGCAGAAAAAAAAACCCTTCAACTGGCTGCCCCCCCCCCCCCCCCCCCCACCCTGGGCAGACTAACATTACTGAGAACAGAAACGAGTGGACTTTCATGCTAAAGGCAGGTATAAGATGTGATTAAGGATCAAGACAAAGGATGTTCTGCTTATAAACTGACCTCCTGGATATTTCTAGGTGACGCTCCGGATCTTACCTCTGCCTGAGCTTGATGTAACTTCCCATTAGGCCAGGAACAGGTTTGTGAACTAGACCAGGTACAACCACTTGTGACACACGCATAACACCTGTGTAGAGTATACAGGGGGTTACTGAGTGCATGGACATGCACATTTTGTTAG